ATATCAGTAAGAATAGCTATCTATTCTTACTGATATTCTTAGCTATCTATTCTTCATCAAATAGAATGTTTGTATATGTTTTATATGTTTTATATAAATGTTTTATATATGTTTTAACCTTGTTTTTGGATGAGCAAAGTGTGGCTTTTCTGAAGTTGTTGAATTGCAGCTTCCCTCATCCCTGATTATTGATCAGACTATCTAGGACTAGTGGAAATCATCATCTGAGAACCTAATTTAAAGATACTTAGTCATTTTAATAAAGCAGCTTATGCATTCTAAAAGTCATTGACTTACCATTCTTTTATATATACTTATTCACATTCTGCAGAATTGTGGAACATACACAAGACATGATTTTTTTTTTCATCTGGTATAACTGTTATAACATATTGAGTTTATATTAATTATTCATTTCAGTTTCATGTATGATTATGGTAGCTATGTATCTGTCAAATTAATATAACAAATGAATCTTATTTTCCTTACCTTTTAATCAGAGAAAGAATACTCATCTCATTATTTGAGGCTATTTGGGTATATGCCTTTAAATATAATTTTCTGCCTTTTATTTACCATAATAGGCAGAAAAAGAGAGATAAGAAAGTATAGATGGGACAGAAACAGCATTGGTCGCACTTTTAGGTGATCTCTGGTGGGACCAGGATGGGGGTAGTGCATCCATCCTTGCCCGCCTTGACCTCTTGTTGGCTTTTGATATTATCATCCATGGTATCCTTTTGGGTCGGCTGCACAAGTTGGGGGCGGGGGGCACAGTTTTTACTGATTCACCTCCTTCTTCCAAGGCTGGTCCCAATCAATGTTGATAGGGAGCAAAAGGTCCAGCCCACGGCCCCTACTTTGTGGGGTGCCACAGGACTTGGTGCTCTCTCCACTCCTTTTTAACATCTAAAAGCTCCATGAAGCTACTGGGTGAGATCATCTGTCACCACAGGATAAGGTATCATCAGTAAGCGGATGATACTCATTTATACAGTACATCTCCATGCCAGGGGAATTAAGTGATGTGGTGGATATTCTTTCGCAGTGCCTGGAGACTGTGGGTGTTTGGATAGGGAACAACAGGCTTCAACTGAACCCTGGCAAGGTGGAGTGGCTGTGGGTTTGGGCCTCTTCTGTATCTGGGGTTTTACTATCTCTGGTTCTGGATGGGTTGCACTGCCCCATACAAATTCAGTGTGCAATCTGGGGGTTCTCCTGGACTCACAGCTCCTGCTTGAGGAGCAGGTGGCACTTGTGGCTAGGAGGGCCTTTGCTCAACTGTGTTGTGTGTCAGTTGCACCCTTTCCTGGATCAGGAAGCCCTTCTCTTGGTCACTCATGCCCTGGTCATCTCCCATATGGACTATTGTAATGCATTGTACATGGGGCTACCCTTGAAAAGTATCAGGAAGCTGCAGCTGGTGCAGAATGTGGCAGCATGGGCAGTTACGTGTGCCTCTAGGGCTGTGCATATGACACCTCTGCTGTGTGAGCTGCATTGGGCGCTGGTTTGCTTCTGTGTCCAATTCAAGGTGTTGGTTATGACCTTTAAAGCCCTTCATGGCATGGGCCGAGGTTACCTAAGAACCCTCTCATCCCAGTTACATCAGCCCATCCCACCTGGTCCAGCAGGAAGGCCATGTTACAGACCCTGTTGACTAAAGAATTTCGACTGGCGGGGTCTAGGAGGAGAGCCTTTTCTGCCGTTGCCCCACGTTCCCCCATTGTGGAATATCTTGCCCCCTGAGATGAGATTGGCCCCCACTCTTCTGGCTTCTAGAAGAGCGTTAAGACCTGGCTCTGCTGACTAGTTTGGAGATCCAGTGGGGACTCACAGCACTGGGACTGGCTGGTGACTTGAGAATGCTGTGTCCATCTTTTAACTTTGTTTTTGTAGTTTTTTATTGGTTTTATGGCTTTTATTTCTGAGCCACCTAGAGTCACTTATATAATGAGATGGGCAGTGTATAAATTTGGTTTATAAATAAATAAATAAATAAATAAATAGATAAATCTAAATAGATAAATAAATAAATAAAAAACTAAATACATAAATAAATAAATAGATGCCACTGTTATGTACTTGGTTTGTTCTTTTACAAATGTGTTTTTCTTGATCATACTGGTTAATGTTACAGTATTAAACTAAAAGTGTTTATATACAACATCTTCATATTTTCTCTAAGGATGAAGTGCTGTATATTCAACATAGGAGTAGATTAAGATTCCCTTAAATCAAACTCAGTATTGTGACTTCACAAATATGTTCCTATAGCCATCTTGGCAGCATTACGGAGGTGATTTGTCATTGTCTGGCACAGACTAGCAATTTCTTGGTGGTCTTCCATCCAACTATGAAACAGGTTCAATCCTTCTTAGCTTTTGGGAACAGCCAAAGTCAGCTAGATGCTACAGCCTACAATTACATTTTCAATATAGGCATGTAATGTATTTCCTCTTCCAGTTTATTTACATTATATAGAAAATAATAGGTTGAATGTTGTGTTGGAGTATGTTGATGTATGCATATGTTTCCCTGTGTAAATCATTTAACAAGATGCTTTGCTTGCCAGGAGAGAACTGCCCCTCTGGATCTGCTCTTCAGAGCTACTGAACAGCTGTAGCTGCTTTGTGGCTTTAAGTAACAGATTCAGAGGAGCGAACACCATGTTGAATGATTTGTTCAGGAATTTATCTGGATAGCAGTAATTGGATAGCAGTAACAGTTTGACTGTATTTGTTTTGTTCTATTTAGTTGTGAATAAATTGTGTTTTCTGTTAAAGAGGGATGAGACATTATAGTCATTCACTATCTTCCAGTTTTGGAAAGAAATGTGACATTATGTTTGAGTTGATATTTTCACTATGTATAGTTGAATCATGATGTATGTACACATAAGTGTGACTTCAAGCAGAATGGGAACTAACTATGGCATGAAAATATTACATGTCTTTAAGGAGAAAAAAGGATAATCTGAAATCCTGTAATGTCTCAAAAATGTGTTGAACGTTTCTGTTTCCTATTTGTAAAATTTTATCCTGAATCCCCAGGCATAATTATCTTTCTGTCTTTGTAGACAATTGATTTAGAAGGTTTCAAGTTATTTATGAAGACTTTTCTTGAAGCTGATTTACCAGACGAATTTTGCGATCATCTCTTTGTATCTTTTGGAAACAAAGTTCCTCCTAGCAGTCCTTTGGTAAAGAATAAACCTCCATTCTTTCCAGGAGGTGAGTAATTCGGTAAAAGGAGTTTGATTGCTTTGAATAGGCCTACCACTTGTTCTGGGACTTAATAAAAAGTCTTTAATGATACTTAATGTCCTTCCATTCTTTTGTAATGATTTAAAGCTTTGGTAGTGGACAAAAATAGCACTTTTAGGAAAGGGAAGGAAATTGGGTATAAATTATCAAGTCTAGAGACAAATGTCACAGGGATATTTGAATAGAGGAAAAGTTGACAATCAGAAAGATTCACAGGCTCAACTCTATGAATTTTTCCAGATCTCTTCTTTCAAGTAACCTTTCAAGTGTCAATAGACCCATCAGGTTCTTTCACAGACATGTATGTAAGATTTAAGTTGATCTTTAGATATCTACTGAACACCATTTTTATAAACTGTGATTATTATTCCCTGTATGCTTCTCACTTGTTCTAATATTAATAGGATACCATAATTTCATCGACAGAACTCTGCATTTTTCATTGAAAACAAGGACTGATTGTACTTAAATGTATTGCTAGGTTATTACTTAGGCTATTCTTCTTCAACTACCATCTGGCACCTTATTCTCATTCAAACATTAAAATAACTAAAATCTAATTGCAGTTATCTTGGTGCTTTAGTTGTTACAAATACAATTATTGCATTAAGCTTGGGTCATATCCAGTTCAACCACATTTGGATTGTTTCCTCAGAGTAAAGCAAGAAGCTGTGCTTAAACAAAACTTGTATGGTGGTGGCTGTTTTGAGTCATATCTTTAAAGCTGTCACTATGCTTTGGACTATGAAGGTTTTTTAAAACATAAAATGGTAGAAGAATGACAAATTAAATGAGAATGGAAGCATATTATAAAAATCACTGAAAAACTATCCTTAGAATCAAATAAATTATGATTATTAACGATATGGTGCTATTATTTCTTTATCTAGAAGTTCTAGAAAATCACTACAGTGAAGTGATCAAACCTTTGTGCTCAGGAAAGCATTTTATTATCCTGGATGTTAAAATAGCATCAGTATGTAAGCAGAAAATGTTGCCATATACAAAGAAAACATTCTATGCTGCTTTTTATATTGGTCCTAAAATGAAATAATAGAGATATAAGCAAATTTTAAACTTCAGTTATAAATATGCTCAGACCATTGGATATAGTGGTACTTACACCCCTAGTAATTAAGCATGCATAGAATTGCCTAATTAATCAGTTTGGATTATACTTTGTGCAAAATGATGTCTGTTTCCTCCATTGCTATAGAGACAAAGAAGCTGTTCTGTATGCAAAATCAGAAATACAGGCAGATCAGATGTTTCAAATGTTTTGTTTCTTGTTACATAAGTAAACAGCATGAATATTATTTCAGGTTTGCGAATTGCTAAAAGCATAACTACACATCCTCAACATCTTTCCACAATGCACATACCAGAAGTAATCCAGTTGAAAGATATTGTTTGTTATCTTTCCCTTCTTGAAAGAGGAAGACCTGAAGACAAACTAGAATGTATGTATTTCATGTAAAGCAAGTCCATATTGTTTGTTTTCAGTCACTTTCAGTTCATTCATATATATTTCATCATCTCAAATTTGACAATTAAAAGATATTTTAGATATTTTGCAATACAGAGAGTATAATACTATAAATATCTATTCAGAAGTAATTTCCACTGAGTTCAATGGGTCTGTCTTCTAGATTATTACGTCATATCCTTAATAATGCATAACTTTTATGCAAAGAATAAATTAATTGTATTCAACTTCTCTTTAGCTTTGACTATCAAATTACTTGCATGCCTCTTTATTGATTGTCATGATTGTTTTGTAGTATAAAATGCTTTTGTAAGATTTGTCAGTAACTTATGACTTCAACTAGCACAGTTTCCTCTGGTATTCTGAATTGCCCTTGATTTACTACAGACATAGGAAAGATGTCCATTGTAATTAATATTTGTTACTATTCTAGGATACAGAAATATTCTGAAACATATATTTTCATTTTTCATGAACTGGAATGCTAACTTGTTCCAGTTGTTTTCTAAATGTAGCATCAATGTCTGATTGTATCCAGGCACAATTATGATACCTGGGCTACTTATTATCTAATGCTGATGCAGTTTCACTTCCACACAGTAAAATAGAAACAATCCAAATTCAATCAAACTCCCAGGAAAACTAATAATTTTTTTTTTTTTGGTCTGCGCTCAGTCATTGCTGACCCTGCAGTGACTGCTTGGACGAGTCCTTGCAG